GTGCTGGGGGATTGAACCGCGGTCCCTGATGCTTTTGCTAAGCTTGTTCTAAGTAGGTGCTTTAGACCACTGAGCCATCTCTCCAGCCCCTCTATTGGAGTCTTATACTGAAACCCTTTTTAAGTCCATTTTGAAGTGACTTCTACAGGGTGATATATGAAAATCTAGGTTCAGTCTTTTACAGGTGGGTACTGTTTGCCCAGCACCATTTGTTAGGTTATGTTTTTTTTTTTTTTTTTTTTTTCCCAAAATACGTTTTTGGCCCTTTTTTTCAAAAAAAGAACTAGCTAGTTGTAGTTGTATGGGTTTTTTTCTGGGTTCCCTATTCTGTTCCATTAGTTTATGTTTCAATAACGAGCTGTTTCTGTTACTACGGCTGACTACTGTGCTGTAATTTGGAATTGGGTATTGTTAGGGCTTCATCACTGATATTTGTGAACAGGAGTGCTTTGGATATTCTTAATCTTTCTATTTTAACATGTTTCCATATGAATTTTAGGATTATTTTTCTAGCTGGGTAAAGAATGTTATTATTAGATCATTTTCAGTGACACTGGCATTTTGACATGATTAACTCTGCGGAGCCATGAACATGGAGGTCTTTCCATCTGCTCGTGTCTTCTCCAATGTCTGCCACTAGTGTTCTGTAGTTTTGAGTGTAGAGATCTTTTACCTTCGTGCTTAAGTTGATTCCTAGGTAGTTTTTGCAGCTAATGTGAGTGGGATTGTTTTCCTGATTTCTTTCTTAGCTTGCTATTGGTATTTAGAAAAGTTATTATTTTTTATGTTGCTTTTGTATCCTGTCACCTTTCTGAATTTGTTTTACAGCTCTAAATGTCTTTTAGTGGAATCTTTAGGGTCTGTTGAGTGTGTAGGGTCATATCATCATTGTCTGAAGACATTGATGTCCTCCTTTTCTACTTGTACCCTTTTTATTACTTTCTCTTGCCCAATTGCTCTGGCTAAAATGTCAAGTACCCTGTTAAATGGGAGAGATAGGTGGACATCCTTGTCTCATGCCTGATTTTAGGAGAAATTCTCTTAATCTTTTCCTGTTCAGTATGATGGTGGCTATTGGCTTTTCATATATAACCTTTATTATTTTGAGGTAAGATTCTTCTATACCTCATTTCTTCAGGGAATTTTATATGAAGGTAGGTTGGATTTTGTCAAAGGCTTTTTCTACATCTATAGAAATGCTCATCTGAGTTTTATCCTCAATTTCTTGTATGTTATTATATTTGTTGGTTTGTGTCCATAAGGCACTCTAGCACTCCTATAATGCAGCCATGTGTTGTTAAATTCAGTTTATAAGTATTTATTGAGAAGTTTTGCACCTATGTTCATCCATTACACAGGTCTAAACTTTTCTTTTTCACTGTGCACTTGTCAAGTTTTGATGTTAGGGCAATACTAGCTTGGTATAATAAATCTGCAAGTGCTTCTTCCTTCTCAGTTTCATGGAATAGTTTGAGAGGAGTGTATGTTAGATCTTATTTAAAGGTCTGGTAAAATTCAGCACCGAATCTGTCTAGTACCGAGCTTTTCTTACTTGCATTTTTTTTTTTAAAGTACTGCTTTAATCTCCCAGCTTGTTATCTATCTGTATAAGTTTATATAGACTCTTGGTTCAATTCTGGTAGGTCATCTGTGTCCAGAAATTTATCTATTTTTCTAGATTTTTCCAGTTTATTGTAACATAAATTTTCAAAATAGTACTTAATAATACTCTGGATTTCAGTAGTATCCATTGTAATATTCTCTCTTTCACCTTTAATTTTATTTTTTATTTTTTATTTTTTTTTGGAACCGGAGATTGAACTCAGATGCTGCGCTTGCCAGGGAAGCACTTATTCTACTGAACCATCTCCCCACCCCTAATTTTATTAATTTGTGTTTGTACTCTTTTCCTTAGTTTGGCTATGCATTTATCAGTCTTGCTCATCTTTTCAAAAGGCCAACTGCTTCATTAATCTTCACTGATCTTTTAGTCTCTATTTCATTAATTCAGATTTTATTCTTTATTTCCTCTGTGAGTTCTGTGTTTGGCTTGATCTTATTTTTCAAAATTATTTCAGATCGCTCTGATTTCTTAATGCATACACTCACAGATTTCCCTCTTAGAATTAGCTTTGCTGTATGCTAGATTTTGGCATATTGTTTCCATTTTTATTTGAATCTAGGAATTTTTAAATCCCCATTTGAGGCCCACTGATTGTTCAAGAGTGTGTCCTTCATGTATATAACCCATTTATATAAATGCACAAACTTATCTTGATGAATGTAATCATCATATACTCTAAGCAGGTACTAATAAAAATAAAAACTTGAGACGAGCCAGATGGCCAGATGGCTCAGCAGATTAAAGCACCTGCTTAGGCAGTCGCAGGGACCGAGGTTCGATCCCCCATGTGCCATGCCGGCCCCACTCCCGGGGCACGCTGAGAAGGCAACTGAGATTGGGCGTGGTGGTGCGCACCTGTAAGCCCAGCACTTGGGAGACTGAAAACAGGAGGATCACTGCGAGTCTGATCTGAGACCCTGTAAACCTTGTACTAAATACACTTAAAAAAAGTTAGTACTTGAT